TCACTTTAAGCAAAAAACACATCCCATAAAATGACAAAAAGTTTATAAATCGTTAATCTCATGTATGACGCTAGATGGCGATGAAACAATGAAGTCTCTATTATCATGACATACGGTTGATAATGTTATAATATTGCATCTGATTCAAATGAAGTTAACCGTCAGTTTGTGTATTAGTTCAAATTTTTACTTTTTTACTATTCTTTTTTAATCACTCACAAATTGTATTTTTATTACTAGGTAGAATAGTCACTTTACTAAAGTTTATTTGTGATACTTGCGAATATTTGTTGTTTGTTGGATTGTTATTTTACATACACTGTTATAGGATATTTTTATCAACTTACCACTGAATTCATTAATGTTATTTAGAAATAACACTTGCACACAATATTTGGCCAACACTTTACACATTACTTATGCTAGATACATTTAACAATCACTTTTACTTATTTAATTAATCAAAAATACGGGAGCTAATGTTTACTGTGTGATTAGCGCCACAGTATTCATAAACATACATATTTATCAATAAAATAAAATAATACATAAAAATACATAAATAAATAAAAACCCAACCAGATGGAAGCCCGCTACAGGGGAGACCAAACGGGTTAGGGGGGAAGGGAAAGAAACCGGCGGACGATGCGGGCGGTATCGAGTAGCAGATGAGCGCCTCAGATGACCCGAGAGGCTGACTGCGATTAACCCGTGCGCAGAAACGACTACAGGTATAATTTCGGTCGGCAATCCACCCCACATGTCGGTCACCTCGTGAGCCAGGTCCAGATATTTTGTTCGCTTATCGGTTTTGGCTTTCACGAGGTTCTCGTCATCTCGCCTCGAAATGGTAATGTCGACCAAAAATATCCTTGACTGTGCCCGGTCCATCAGCACAATATCAGGCTTATTTGCAAAAATAGTCCTGTCTGTGATGATGGACCGGTCCCAATAGAGCCTGGCGCAGTCATTTTCAAGCACAGCTTCTGGCTAGTACTTATAATGAGGCAGTTTCCGATCTACGTGGCCATATTTCAGAGCGAGCTCCTGGTATAGAATCCTGGCAACTAGATTGTGTCTGTGCATGTACTCACAGTAACAAAAAAAAAACAACCAGATATGACATGCCTAAGTGACTCACCGGGATGGCGATAAGCTCGACAGATGTCGACGGTGTCATCCTTTAGGATGTATCTCTGATAGTTGTTGGTCTTAATAAGCTGATTCTGTACCGCACAAACAAAACCCTCGGTTTCCTCATAGAGGTCACCAAAACGTGGCTAGTGGAGGGAGGCATCTGTGACTACGAAAGGTAGAGCCTTGTAGAACCTCCCGTGGAGCTCCTTCTCCTTCAATAGGGTCTCCCGGAAATTCGGAATTCGGAATTCGGAAATTCTCTGTACTGCCGGGTCTTGTCATTGCTCGTTGGCTAAGGATAGGGGATATATATAAATCCTTTATCAGAAGAAATAACGTCTCTATAGAATGGATTATCCGCTCTCGTCAGAAAGTAATTACGGAGGCTGCACACTTCGCGATTATGCATGGTAAGCGCGCTTAAAAGTTCACGCCCAACATGTTTTGTTAAAGTTTAGTGTTTTGCTAAAATTGTTACATCACATAATAGTATAGACCACAAACATTATTTCAAGTCAACATTTTTGACACAAACTCGGGTTAGATCCTTTTTGCATAACCACGTCCGTTTGTACCTCCTTTCCGAAGCTAAAATCCCCTCCCGGAGTGCTGTGGTACGGTACTGAGAGAATTCAGGCAAAGGCAGAACCAGATTGGACTCAAACAATAAGGAAGATAGCCCTTCTTATCCTTGTGTGGTTTTTCGCATCCGTCATCCTCTCGCCTAGATGACAAAGGATTGGACTCCACTACCCCATGCACCACACGAGGAAGTCTCTAACTGTACAATCAATCTTGTAAAGCTCGAGGATCCTCTTTAGCCATGTATGAGGCACCGAGTCGAATGCCTTTCTATAGTCTACCCAAGCGCCGGAAAAGTTCCGGCGATTGCGTTTAACCACCTTGCCAATGTCTGCATCTGCGTTGGTTCCACGTCTACCGCATCGACATCCATTTTAAGCACACGACATCACCTAGCTTAAATCCTTTAAATCATGAATGATTTGCGTTCTCAAAATGGATGTCAGAATCTTATATATGGTGGCTAGACACGTAATGTGGCGGTATTTGCCAGGGTCTGTGGAATCATAGTCTTTAGGAACAAAATGAGTGATCCCAGTAGTGAAGAGGCTCGGGAGCGACTTTTCGTCGAGAGCCTCTAGAAACCGTCAGGTGAATACAGCGTGACACACCACGAACCCCTTCAGCCAGTAGTGATGCAGTCCGTCTCGCAAAGGTCCCGGCTGGCTTCCAAATAGGTCACCAGCATTGGGTTAAGAGCCCTTACGACAGCACGATTCCACTTGTTTAGGGTTATGCGGGGAAGTCGCGGTCGATTTTCGATGCGGCGTCCTGCGCGGTTCCTCAATCGCCTCTTCAAATATACTCCTCATTTGCTCTAGTTCTAGTTCCTGGGCAACTGTTGCACAAACCTCTGAATCAAACACAACTGGGGGATTCACGGTGGCATCCACGTGTGCTTGTTGCTCTGCAACTTGTGACGCCGCATCCTCAGCCGTAGTATTTTCATCCGATAAGGATACAACCTCACTTCGTAGCCGTTCAATTTCGGTACCATCAAATATGTTTGAGCGCAAGATATACCGAACTCGGTCTGCCAGGTTTTGCTCGGTGATGGTTATAGATGGCTCCAGCTCAGCAAAATGTCGATGCATCATAGCCGCACGCAAAACCTCCAATTTTCCTCCTTTCGCCCTAAAGTACGCCTGCAATGCGTTGTTATTCATCTGCTTCGTCCAACGCATGCGGCGTACTCCATCAGTGGCGGGTGCTGATTTTTTTTTATAGGTTAAGGGTGACAAACGAGCACACAGTCCACCTGATGGTAAGTGGTTGCTGCGGTCCATAGACATCTACATCTATTCTCTATTACAAATCAAAATGTAGATGCGTTGTCACCCGTGAGGACTAAGATGGAATGCCTCATTTCCAGTAAAAAGGGCCTCCGGCCACCTGCACTCACCAAGCGAAATGCAGAGGTAAACCTCTACTTCACGCTGGTTTTCCGTGAGGTCGTGGTACCATCCCGGTTTGAGCTGGCCCATCCGTGCGACAGCAAAAGCTCGCCGCGTGGCTCTACCACTGTAAAACAACTCTGTTGCTGAGCCCGCGCAGACCCTGCCCAAGCCAGCTGGTGGGGGTGATGGATGCGAGGGGCTGCTGAGTGGTCGTGCAGCATCTCGCGCTCGGCTGGCGGTTCGCATGCTGTCGCGTCCAGCGCCAGCTCCAGATGCGCCCTGGTGACCTTCAGGCAGCGGCCCTTTGCGCGTTCTTCTGTTTTCCATCATCCATTTAATGGGCGTCAGTTAACGGCAGACGCCCAGACCAGGCACTGTTTCATGGTAAGGTCATGTGCACAAGCGGGCCATTGCGTTATGTCAGCGGGCGATGGGGTCGTCATTTTCCTACGCCATATTATTATTATTAATAATAGTGCGTAAAGTGAATTTTAGTAATGTTTATATATGTACAATGGTATTTTTTTAAATAGTCTTTCCTATTATTTCGGTCTCCTCTTTGTGCGGTGCTTTAAAGATGAATAATATAAAATTTTAACTGTTAAAATAAACAGTTAAAAATTACCAAATTTACTAAATAGTTTAAATTAACTATATTGAATAAATTTATCTTATTAAAACAGGTCCATTTATTCCAATCCACGATCTCATAAATTCATGCCATCTAGCCTCTATTGTACGTACCACCTTGAGGGTCAATCAAATTTTGTTTGATAAAAAGACTAAATATAGAATGAAGTGAATGGCGCTATTACAAAGCAATTTTATTAGAAATAAAATATTCTTTTGATTTATTACAACAAAATTAAGTTTAAGAATAAGGGTTGTAGCATTTATTTAGTTTATAGTTAAACTTTCATCTTATATTTTAGGCCTCAGTTGTGGTTGAAAATCATCTTATTAAATAAATAATTTGTTGTGAAATATTTTTATTTTATATTTCATTTTATTTGAAGGTTTCACTTCTACCGCGTGTGAACTGCACATATTTTTTCTATTATCTTTATTTTTCTTAGGTTTATGATGGATTAACTTTCACCCTAGGTTTCATCCATGTGTTTATAAGACAAGATGTGACAACACTCTTTAATGTCTAATATACATTTTGTCATTTGAGAGATATTGTTCATGAAGGCAAGACTATTTTGAGACGCTAATACAGATTTACAGGCTTACCAACTCGCACTGGACCAGGGCGTTAGCTACAAGCAAACACATAACATAAGGCGATCTATGGCAGAAACGAAGTTTTTCCACTTCGGCCCCCCGCTACCTATAATGTTTACCTTTGTGTATTTGTAATAATAATAATAATAATGTAATAAGTCCGGGACTCGACGGACTGCATCACTACTCGCACGACCGTTTCAAGCGGCCCTCGACCAAAAGTCACTTCGGAGCCTCTTCACTACTGGGATCACTCATTTGGTTCCTAAAGACCGGGATTCCACAGACCCAAGCAAATACCGCCCCATTACTTGTCTACCCACCATATATAAGACACTGACATCCATTTTGAGTACGCGAATCATTTGTCAGCTGGATTAAAATCTGGTGATGTCGCGTGCTCAAAGTGGATGCCCGGATGGTGGTCGTGGAACCAAGGAACCACTCCTCATTGACGCGGTCGTTGGCAAACTGGTTAAACGCAACTGTCGGAACTTCTCCGCCGCCTGAATAGACTATATAAAGGCAATCGACTCGGTGCCCCATACATGGCTAAAGAGGGTCCTCGAACTGTACAAGGTTTACTGTACAGTTAAAGACTTCCTCGGGCAGTGTATGTGGCAGTGGAGTAAAATCTTTTGTCATCTAGGCGAGCGGATGACGGATGCAGAAAGCCGCATAAGGATAAGAAGGGGTATCTTCCAGGGCAATCGTTTGAGTCCAATCTGGTTTTGCCTCTCCCTAAACCCTCTCAGTACCTTACTGGAGGACTCCGGGAGAGGGGATTTCAGTATCACTTGTGATTATAGTAATTCTATTAGAATAGAGCTGGGGACGGATAAGTGTGCGGTCTTCCATGTTGAAAAGGGAAGGGTTGCTAACTCTGAGGGCATAGACTTATCTATGCCCATCAACATAAGGACACTTTCCGAGGCTGAAAGATACCGATACCTGGGTATGTCACAGAACATCGGTGTAGATGAGGTGGGTATGAAACGGTCAGTTTGCGATGTGTTTTATGCACGCTTGAACAAAGTGTTTAACAGCCTTTTGTCCGGTGTGAATAAGACGCACGCATATAACGGTTGGATAATGCCTGTTCTCATGTATACCTTTGGCATACTCAGGTGGACTCAGACCGAACTGAACGCTCTGGACAGAAAAGTCCGCACTATTATGATGTCCCACAGGAGGCATCATCCGAGATCGTTAGTAATGAGGCTGTACTTGCCGCGGAAGCATGGTGGGCGCGGATTTTCAAGCGCACTTACCATGCATAATCACGAAGTGTGCAGTCTCCGTAATTACTTTCTGACGAGAGCGGATGATTCATACTATAGAGACGTTATTTCTTGTGATAAAGGACTAACCGCAAGACCCGGCAGTACAGAGCATTTCCAACCGGGAGACCGTATGGAAGGAGAAGGAGCTCCACGGGAGGTTCTACCAGGCTCTACATAAGTCTTTTCTAGATTCAGTCGCCTCCCTCCACTGGCTACGTTTCGGTGGCCTCTTTGGGGAAACCGAGGGTTTTGTCTATGCAATACAGTATCAGGTTATTAAGACCAGCAATTATCGGAAATACATCCTAAAGGATGGCGCCATCGACATCTGTCGAGCTTGTCGCCATCCCGGTGAGTCACTTAGGCATGTCATCTCCGTTTGTTCGGCGCTTTCTAACTCTGTGTATTTGCACAGACACAACTTAGTAGCCAGGATTCTACACCAGGAGCTCGCTCTGAAATACGGTCTCGTGGATCGTAAACTGCCACATTATACGTACTTGCCCGAAGCCGTACTCGAAAATGACCGCGCCAGGCTCTACTGGGACCGGGCCATCATCACAGACAGGACAATTCTTGCAAATAAACCTGATATTGTGCTGATGGACCGGCGACAGTCAAGGATATTTTTGGTCGACATCACCATTCCTTATGACGAGAACCTCGTGAAAGCCGAAACAGATAAGCTGACAAAATATCTGGACCTGGCTCACGAGGTGACCGATATGTGGATTGGTCTGCCGGCCGTAATTATTCCTGTGGTCGTTTCTGCGAACGAGTCAACTGGGACTCCGTGACGGACCGCTCCAAGCTCAAATGCAGAAGGCGGTGCTCCTCGATACCGCCCGCATCGCCCACCGGTTTCTCTGACTTTCCCCCTAACCCTCAGCCGTTTGGTCTCCCCTGCCGAGAGCTTCCATCTGGTTGGGTTTTTATGTATTTTAGTATTTTTATGTATTTATTCTATTTTATTGGTATTTATGTATGTTTATATCTTTCTTATACAATTATATATTCAAACAGCCCAACCAGATGAGAAAACTTGGATTTTGAGTAAAACTTGCCGCCGTTCTCTAAAGATATCACACAAAATGACAGTCCAAATTCCAATAAGTAACAACTCATGGACACCTACGAGTATAACCAACTTCAAGCAAAGATTGCTCAATATACATACTTACACCCAGAAATTGAATGAAATGCTCACAGTACCAGAAACTATATTGACCCTCTCACCATTCGACACAACACAGCATTATATTCACAGCTGCTTACGTAGAGAAAGTGCCCATACCATCAATACCATCTTGTTATAAAGACTCGTTAAATACCTAAAATCAGACTATTTAATTAATCACACATCAAAGTCTCATTTATTTGCTCCTTAAGATGTTCTTCATTAAATCAGCTGTAATTTACAAAAACACGGCGAAAGTCAGAAGCCCTAAAGTTTGCCTTTTCAGCTGTTTGTGGATAATTCGAGGTTTATAAGGCAGCGTAAAATTAATGAATTTTGATTTCGTTGTATTTAGGTTTATAGAATGATAATGTTAGGTGACATGATGGGGGATTCCCTTAGACACATTCACCTGTCCTAGATTAAGAATCGAAATTCAGGTGCGTTGCTATATCTATTTTTTACATCTTGCAATATGATATTGTACTATAGTTTACTTTAATTGACATTTTACTCTGTAACGCCAGTAAGAACTACATGGTAGAGCCATGCTGCAGCTATATTATGGTTGTAGCACGAATGGGTCGGCTCGACCGGGGAAGGACCACGCTCTCACAGAAAACCAGCGTAAAATAGCAGCAGCTTAACGCTGCTGTGTTTCGTATGGTGAGTCTAGAGAACCGGAGACCCTTTTTACTGGCAAAGAGGCATTCCATCTTAGTCCTCACGGGTGACAACGCATCTGCATCTTAAGTCTTTATTGAGGATAGATGTAGATGTTTATGGGTCACAATAACCACTTACCATCAGGTGGACTGGGTGCTCGTTTGTCACCCGATTCTATAAAAAAAAGAACATTTAGAAAAAAAAACAACACGTCTTATCCTAAATATTAAATATAAACCGGGTATGTTATGTAATTCTGTTATCACGACTGAAATAATTCAAAAAATATATCCGCAACAGTATTTCAACATCAATTCAAACTAAAAAAATATTTTAGTAAATTTAAATATACGAGCCAATCATATTCTAATAATGTAATCTCTTTTCTTACAACTTGTGATGTTTGTTATAAATGTAAAAGTGCATTTATACATACTTCCGAAACGAATAAGTACTTACACATAATAACCAAAACATTTTCGCTCCTTTTGAGAAACTCCTAATTTAGGTAAAAAGGCTACTGGGTTATTTTTTTTAAAGGATAGGGTGACAAACGAGCACACAGTCCACCTGACGGTAAGTGGTTGTTGTGGCCGATAGACATCTACATTTATTCTCGTTTGCGAATCAAAATGCAGATGCGTCGTCACCCATGAGGACCAAGATAGAATGCCTCTTTTCCAGTAAAAAGGGTCTTTTAATGGTTTTTAATAGCACTCTTAAAAGAAGAAGTAGCAATAGCTAAAGTAAAAGTGGACTTCCAATAATCAAAGTTCAATGGGTGTAAGTAAGTTTTTTTTTTTTAATTATTATATTAAATTTAAATATTTATCGAAGAAAAAACTTTTTCGTTCTACTTTATTTATATACCGAAGGTTTCTGTTTTTATTTAGTTAAATGCAGATAGTCCAGAATGACTTTTATTGAAGGTCGGTATACATTTATGCTATAAGTCTATAAGTCCGTGTAGTGGCGGTCAAGAATACCACTACCCCATATCCTCCCGTGGGTGTCGTAAAAGGCGACAAAGGGAAACAGGCAGGAGATGGGCAGCAGCATCTTCCTGATAATAGCCAAAATTAAAATAAAAAAAACTGCGGTTGCCAACCCGCTCGCCAAGCGTGGCAACTATGGCAAATACCCCCCTATGAATGTAACAAAGAGACGGCCCCCAGTCCCCGGCGGCCCCGCTATTCCTGGCTACGGTGGCGACCATGGTAACGGCGGGGCAGGGGGTGCTAAGAATCTCCGGTGGAGGTTCGGCTGCCACCTTAGACGACTCGACCTGGCAACGTACAACGCACGCACCCTGAGGACTGACGAGAAGATCGTGAAGCTGGAATAAGAGATAGACAAGTTGCGCTGGCATATTATAGGATTATCCGAAGTCCGAAGAGAGGGGGAGGACACGGTAATCCTCGAATCCGGCAACTTGCTCTATCACCGGGAGGGCGACCATCTGTCCCAAGGAGGTGTCGGATTTATCGTCCACAAGTCTCTCGTTAACAACGTTGTAAAGATCGGGAGTGTGTCGACGAGGGTTGCGTACCTTATACTCAGAATCACCAAACGGTATTCGCTGAAGGTCATACAGGTTTACGCACCAACCTCGGCACACCCCGATGGGGAGGTGGAGGAAATGTATGAGGATATCTCTAGAGCCATGCATTCCTCCAAAACCCAATATACGGTGTTAATGGGAGACTTCAATGCAAAACTAGGCACAAGAGAGAACGGTGAGCTGAAAGTAGGGAAATTTGGAATAGGGCAACGGAACCCAAGGGGCCAGCAGCTGGCCGACTTCATGGAGAAAGAGGGACTCTTTATGATGAACTCTTTCTTCCAGAAGCGGCCCCACAGGAAGTGGACCTGGTCGAGCCCCAACGGTTCGACAAAAAATGAGATTGACTTCATTATGACGACCAGACGACAACTGTTCAGTGATGTCTCCGTGATCGCGAGGGTGAAAACTGGTAGCGATCACCGAATGGTTAGAGGCACACTGAACCTAAACGTTAAGTTGGAGAGGTCTCGTCTAATGAAGTCAACGCTCCGTCCCCCTCGTGCTCTGTTCCAAAGTCCCGAAACCTTTCAGCTCGAGTTACAAAACCGTTTTCAGTGCCTAGAAGACTGCAATGAAGTGGACGATATGAATGACAAGCTCGTGGAAACTGTCCATGCGGTCGGAGCTAAGTTCTGCAAGACCCGCCTCAGAAGAACACAAAAACTCTCCGATCACACTCTTAATCTCATGGCTGTTAGACGGGAGATGAAGCTACATTCTTCAACAGACTTGACAGCATACAGGCATCTGAACAGACAGATCTCCAAATGCATGCGGCGGGACTTACGCAACTTCAATACAGCTCGTATTGAAGAAGCGATCGAGCGGAATCAAGGCTCCAAAGTCTTTGCCAGAGATCTGTCTGCCAGAAAGAGCCACCTGTCAAAGCTGAAGACAGAATGTGGCAGCATCGTTTCCGGGACACCTGAGATATTGAGTGAGATTGAGAGGTTCTATGGGCAGCTGTACACGTCATCGTTGGAGCCACACGCAAGTGTGAGTAACGATCCAAGAGCGAGTCTCATCCGACACTATTCCGAAGATATCCCGGACGTCAGTCTGAGCGAGATTAGAATGGCTCTCCAGCACCTTAAAAACGGTAAGGCCCCAGGCGAGGATGGAATTACAGCGGAGCTTCTGAAAGTGGGTGGAAGACCGGTACTTGAAGTCCTTCAGAAGCTCTTTAATTCCGTCCTCCATGGTGGCATTACACCGGAGGCGTGGAGCAGAAGTGCGGTGGTCTTGTTCTTCAAGAAAGGTGACAACGCTCTCTTGAAGAACTACAGACCGATTTCCCTTCTGAGCCGCGTCTACGTGCTGTTTTCGAGAGTCATTACGAATCGTCTCGCGCGCAGACTTGACGACTTCCAGCCTCCCGAACAAGCCGGTTTCCGAAAGGGCTTTAGCACCATAGACCACATACATACCCTTCGGCAAATTGTACAGAAGTCCGAAGAGTACAATTTGCCACTATGTCTGGCGTATGTGGACTATCAGAAAGCCTTTGATTCCGTCGAAATTTGGGCGGTGCTGCAGTCCCTTCAGCGGTGCCAAGTTGACTGTCGGTATATCGAAGTGTTGAAGTGCTTG